TTCCCTACTCACCTAGACCCGTCCCTGGGATCTCCGAATTGGGTCTGAGTAAGTGGGGAAACCCTGCTTCTCCGCTTATCCAGACCTGCCTTGGAGTTATCCGGGGCCGGTCTGGGTAACTGGCTCTTGCAATAGAGATTGCCCAGGGTGCCTCTCTGTGAATGGGGAAATCCGTCTCCCTGGGGTGGCTGGAGAGTAAAGGCAGCTCAGCCTATCTGCACTCTCCCGCCACAGAGCTAACAAATGTCCACTGCAATAAAGCAGCAGAATTTATGACTACTTTTTGTTGCACCATTGCTTTTCCTCTGATATGACCAACAAAAGGTAGGGACATCTATATGCTCGCCATTTGTGCCACCATAAACATTTTTATGGCAGTACACATGGGTCACCAGGCAGCATCTATTTCTACCCTTTGTCTCTCATTTGAGCTGATGTTGGGCCTGCCACAGGGAAAGACTGGGAGCTGCTCCTACAGGGCATTGACAAAACCAGATAGGGATGAGAAATACCATAGAATAGTAGGGCTGGCAGCGACCTCTGGAAGTCATCTAGTCCAAGCCCCTGCCTAAGGCAGGATCATCCCTATTCAAACCATCCCATTCAAGGGCTTGACTAATGGCTAACCTATACTGAAACTGCAGAGTCAGCCCTGTCACACAACCACAAGGCATAACATCCTCACCTGCCACAGGTAAAGCAGAGGGACAATGGTGGGCAGTGCCCTGCTGCTACAAGGATTGTTAAAATATACTTGAGAGATCCAAGAAGGCTATACCTCCTACTGCAGAGCATGCATTCCCAGTAGTGGAAGGAGCAGGAAAAGAGAGCACATGAGCAAGTGAGCAAGCTAAATCCTACTTCACCTTTATGGGCTTATGTGGCACTTTTCTAGCTGTATGAGTTCAATTTGTGACACTTAACATAGTTTGGGTTTGTTCTGTTTGGACCCAGAACTGCACTTGCTCCGTGCTTGCTTTCTGAACATGCTCGGAAGACTTCACTGAGCTCCGGCCCAGAGCCTCTGCTGTCAGCGTGCACATAGATGATTGACTGATTTACACCAGTAGTTCTCAGCCTTTTTAGACTCAAGGCATGCCTCCTTCAACTCAAGGCTCCCCTTGGAAAATGCCAACTCTTACTTTTCACTTGGTTTTTTGACTACAGAACAATTTTAGAGCAATTTTTCCATTGAAAGGAACCCAGACAGTCCACAGCAGGGGGGGCTGGTTTTAACTCTCTATATATAGGGTCCTATTTGAAATATCTGGGTTTAATCTTGTGAACTGTGTTTGGACACCTAACAGTGCTAACATTACGTGGCACCCTGTGGCACCCTTGAAAGGATCTCAAGGCAACCCAGGATGCCACGACGCCCTGGCTGAGAATCCCTGATTTACACAGTTACCATAAAATTAAAGAACTCCCTGCCCGGCTCACTGTAGTTAAACCAGTTGGAGGCCAACCTTTTTGGCAGGAGTGCCACAAATTAGCTCCATCCCCCCACCAAGTGCCACTCTGATCCCCTTCCCCTGCCTGAGCTCCTGCTCCCTAATGATCTGCTGCTCTGCTTTCTGCTTCCTCCCCCGTGCTCCCTATGCCAGCTGATGCTCTACTTTGTGTTTCCAGCCTTACCTGACTCTTTTGGGCACATTTAAACATGCAATTAGTGCAGCTGAATAAACGCTGCCACAATTTGGGCTGGAGTTTATTGCTCCCAGGTGCAGTGTTTACACATGTTCCTGGGACTGCGGCATGTTGAGCTATGGTGGCACAGGCATGGCTGGCAAGGAGTCTGGGTGGGGGTCGACCTGCCATGCCTGGGGCTGTTCTGCAGTGACTCAACATGCTGCAGAGAGGCTCAGCAGGGCATGAGGGTACCACAGTGAGGGACTAGTGTGGCAAATTAAATACCTCTGCCATAGGATAGTACTATCCTACAGTGGAGTTAATTAGTGCACTCCAGTCTAATAGCACTGCATGTGTAGATGGTGATGCTTTACTGGAGAGCAAATTAGTCAAGACTGCAGTAAAGTGCCGCCTGTGTTGCTTGTCCCCTCCCTGACGTGCTGCGTGCCACACAAAGAGGCTGCCTGTGGCATACACACTACAGGTTAGCCACACTGCTCTAAACAAACAGACCTGGCCAGAGCGCCTGTACACATGATGATGTACACATGTGATGAAAAGTGATGAGAAATTGCCATTTGTCTAACAGAATGGCGTCACTATGTACATGTGCACAATTTTTTTTCATGTAAAAAGATTTTTGACCATGGCAACTTAGACCACCTCCAATGTATTTTAGTTTGGTTGTGCAAATTGTCCCAATGTGGACAAAAAAAAATCTGTCACGTGTACATGTCACACAACTCCTGCTGCCTCCCTATGCTGCCTCGGGAATGGGCTGGCTTGCCCGTGGGGCAATGTGAGAAGGTGGCTGGAGGGTGGCTGGGTGTGCTGGTGGCTGGAGAAGGTAGTGGGGATGGTGCATGGGGTGCTGGAAGCCCGGGCGGGCTCACAGAAGCTCGGGCTTGGCCACGTGCACCGTCCCCGCCACCTTCTCCAGCCACCAGCACACTCAGCTGCCCTCCTGCCACCTTCCTGCACTGACCCAGGGGCAAGCCAGCTCATTCCTGGGCAGTCCCAGTTGGCGTGGACAGTGCATGGGGTGCTGGACCCCCGCCGTGCCTGAGCTTCCTCGAGCGTGCTTGGGCTTCCAGCACCCCATACATGGCTGGATTGGACCAGGTGCTGCCTGTGAGCTGGGGCAGCACCCGTGCAACTAGCCCCGGATGCCCAGGCGGCCCTGAGGACTGCCCAGGTGGGCTGCTAGTGGGTGGGTGCCACCACCAGAGGGAAAGTCTGAGGCCCCCACAGCTCAGGGCCCATCGGCAGCTCACTCCCCAGCTGTGGGAGAAGTGGGCAGTCTTCACGATTAAAACAAATTTAAAAATCAGGCCCCTCGCCATTTTTTCCTTTCTTTTTTTTTCTTTCCAGTGGAGCCTGCCCATGGGAGGGGGGGAAGGGGGTGTCAGTGTGTGCTGTCACTGCTCCATAACAGTGACAGAAGCCCCTCAATTGAAACGGTGGGTTTTTAATCTTCACGATTAAAAACCCACCAATTAAAAACCCACTGTTTTCAATTTGGGGGAACTAAACCCCCCTCCCGTGTACAAATGCTTGCAATTATCAGGCACTCAAGTAACCTGGCAACTTTATCACATTCTGCCACAATTCACTTCCATTTCAGCGGCTCAAAGAAACGCACTAAGTGCTTGTATGTCTTAAAGAATACTTATGTGCACATCTCCGTTGAGCTATTCATACAGTCTCTTCCCTTTAGTTTATTCTCTGCTGTATCGTTAATTTGCAGATAAAGTCACAGAGGAGCTCAGGGACCATATAAAATGATGGAACTAATAAAGATAGGTGAATACAAATTGGAAGTAATTGGAGTGAATCTTCTCTGATACGTTCAGGATCATTTGCTAAAGCTGGTTGAAAACTTTTCAGAGGAAAATTTTCCATTGGGGGAGAAAAAAAAAAAAGCCTTTTTTTTAAATAAATGGAAACTTTCTGAGGAGGTGTGTCAATTCTGACAAAATTTTGTTTTGATTAACAAATCAAAACGATGCACTTAGAGGATGAAAAGTGAAAGTGCTCCATTCGGATAATACCAGTATTATCTGAATGGAGCCGTTTCATTTTTCATTTTGAAAGGACAAATTGTAAAATGTATTTCAGATTATATTATGCATTCTCATCTGTCATAAAGTAAGAGTCCAAATGAAAGCTTCATTCTTTGAAAGAAAACATTTCAATAGACTGAAATGATTTGCTTTTTTCTTGAAAATTCTGTTTTGTGGGAAATGTTTGAAATTCTGGCTTTCGCTCCCATTTGAACCACATTTCAAGATCATAATAATTGCTTGCCCAAATGAAATTCCAATTTCTGCAGCACTTTACTCTCTGTCTTTAAATACTTTATACCTACAA